GGGGGGGGGAAATTGTTGTGTGGCTATGTGTATTAGTGACATGCTCAGTTTGGGGTTTGTTTGTTTGGGTTTGGGGTTTTTTCATCTTAGGTTTTAGAATCTCCATCAAGTTGCTCCTGTTCTTGTTTTCACAGAGAATCCTTGCCAAGAGCAAGGTGACATCATCCAAATTAAACTTAGTGAGCATACAGAAGATTTACCAAAGGCAGATGGCACTGGCAGCACCACTATGTTGGTTGATACGGTCTTTGAAATGAACTACGCTACTGGTGAATGGACCAGATTCAAGAAGTACAAACCTATAACTAATGTTTCCTAAGAGATGCAGCAACAGGAGACTGGACCAAATCAAGCTTAGAGTCAACCAGCTCATAGAGTATGTCAACTGTACAAAATGGCATTCATGTGTACATTTCTTATTACCCTCCAGAGTAAAAGTCGTGGCTCTCCAACCTAACTGGGCTGAGTGAACACAGGAGAAGATGGTGTCGAACTCTCTCTTTTTCTTTTCTTTTTTTTTTTTTTTATTTTAAAAATCTTGGGAGAGGGAAAGGTGATCTTAGGGGGGGGAAGTTTTGGTGTGTGTTTGTTTTCCTACAGTTCAAGATGCCGGAAAAGGAGATCACAACTGAAAGATTACAGATGGGAGCAGTTTACTTCTGAGTACCGAAAGAGAAGACTACTGCGCAGTCATTCACGGTTTACCATTAAACGAGGGCACAGATCTTTATTGTAAAAAACATTTTCTTTGGCTACATGGGTTCTGTTGTAAGAATGGACATTTAAAGCACCACCAGTCAGTGCTTGATTATTTTGTAATTCAGCTGCAGTATAACTAAATATTGCAGGTGGTAGATGTCCAGTGTCTAATGGTACCCACTGTATGTTTAGCTTATTTATGCTTGGGTCACAAGATGGGATTGAGCAGCTTTGTTAACTTGCTACATTGTCAATGTCCATGCCTGGCATGAGTTAACCTATATTTGGCATTATTTGAGATCAAGAGAAACTGAATATCATAACTTTCTGAAGAAAAAAACATCAAAATTAAGAAAAAAAAAAAAAAAAAAAAAAGAGTAGCAGTGGCTTGTCACTGCCTGGAAGTGATAGCTCTTTACCATGTAAGTCTTAGATTGAGTAGAAGTTGATCTATGGCTCTTGCACAGCAAGCCCTTTGAACAGCATAACTTACCTGGGAGGAAGTGATACTGTTACATCTCAAGACCAATTGCAGCTTAATTTAAAAACGGCCCTAGAAATGGTTGAGTGACACATATCTGAATATAGACGGCTGGGGAGGATTTGTTGTCTTGAGGCAGTGTTAATTTATGCTTGGTTGAGCAGTCATAAGGCACTTGATTGCCAAGCCCTGATCCAAAAAGTTTTGAATAGTAGCTGTGGTTTTTACCAGTGTAGTTATATTAGTATAATCACTAATGTGGCCACAATTATAGAGGCATATAAATGTGCCTTATACTTGTCTCCTAGTAGAAGCACATTTTTATCTTTATAACTGTGTTTACACCACTGGTATAATCTGGCTTTACTAGTACAAATAAAGCTTGCGTTTATTGAGAGGGCTTATGTACATAGTTCAGGATTCGTCCTTCGGAGACTTGGCTTCCTCATTGGAAAGAGACTTGGATTAAATGTCTGCTTTCTGCCAGTTACTTGTATGTGGAGCTGTGCTCATTGGGAACAGTGCTTAGAAGGAAGAAATACAAAGATGAGTAGCACAGTGGTGGTTTGGTGCTGAGGGGGTACCTTGGGCTGACTACAGGTTCATGTTAAAGTGGAACTCTTAGGACAAAATGAGGCTTTTTTCCTTTTTTCAGAAAAGGAAGCAGACCAAATCCCATAAGTACACATATACTAACAGAGACGTTTAGATGATTGATTAGAGTCTTTTTGTACTGGGGAATTCTTATTGCATTTTATTTTTAGTTTTTAAAAAAAGTTACCCAACAGGACAGGGCAAGCATAAATAAGAAAATCTGTATTCTACAGTGTGTTAAGATGTGACCAAAACTATAGATTTCTTAACCTTATTTAAGCAAATATACAGAATGTTCTAGCTCCTGTAGTGGGAGAGTTATTTGATGGTACCTGTTACCATTACGGAGTGTTGTGCATGTATTGGTGTGAAAGTTACTCGCATATAACTGTCACACTGGGGGCTCTCCTCCACATAATTACCCCATTTCAGAAGCTATGTAGATTGTGATTCTGATTGCGATTTTTTTTTTGTTTGTTTGTTTGGGTTTTTTTCTCTAAATGGCTAGAAACCAGCCTGACAAGTGAGGATGAGTAGTGGGTTTTAGTTTTTAGAATGAGTTCAGTAGAAATGCATTTTCATGGTTATAACTTATTTGATTATAGTATGTTACACAGTAAGGGCTAACAATAGAATATGAAAGTATTCATCTTTTAAAAGAAAGGTTTAAAGAAAAGTGACATTCCTCTTGTCTGCATTCAGATTTTTAAAGTTTTCTTGTAATGACCAGTTTTCTGTAAACCTGTATGATACTTCTGTCTTAACTGTTCCTGCTTGCTAGATAAGCTGCAAGTACCAAATACAGTTTTTAAGAAAGAACTTTTAGAAAATCGGCTGACTTGAGGGGCGTGTACTGTCATTGTAAGTTGTTGATCAAGACTCTTTACAATTCAGTAGTTATCAGGAGCTGCTGCGTTGATGGCTCTTTTGGCTTACTTGAAATTAATGGAGGTCCCTCGCTAAACTTTTAGTCCCCAGAAGTCTGCATTTCAGACCCATGCTGTTGGGATGGAGATGGCTGTCCCTCTCCTCTTCAAGAAGCCCTTCCAGAATGCAGTGGAGTTTTTTGAGTGCAGTAGTGCGTAGGAAGCTTACCCATGCTGCTACCTATTTGTATTTGCTGCATAACAACATTGGTCTCCAGGCCTGTTTGTCTAAAGTCAGTCATATGCAATAAATTGAAATTTTAAATAGAAGCATAGTATATTTTTAATTCCGTTAAGTTATTAGGATGAGACAATTTAACACTGCAAAAATAATTTATTTTTAAAGTGACTTTATGACCCTTGATACCAGAGCATTACTTCAACTTGATCTGTGAATCTTGAAAGTTTTTTTTAAATGCCTAAAGAAAGGGAAGGTTTTTTTTGCAACATTGTTAAAATGATACAGTAAGAAGTAAAAACTACATGGAGTTCTTTGGTTCAGAGAATGAAATCGTTGAACCAATGGCCTGAAAGTAGAGACAATGCCAGACAATTCAGAAAGGGCAACATCAACATTTAAATTCCAATATAATGGAATTATTGCATACAGAACAAAATCTGGCCCTGGAACTTAGTATTTTTTGTCTTGAATATTCAGTCACTTGGATGTGAGCTGGATTCCATTCAGTGAGGCTCAGTGTGTGCTGTTAAGATTAAACAAAAACATTTGTTGACTCCAGAATGACTTGCAGATGTACTTGACAAATTGACCAGAGTACTAGTTTAG